GCATCATTATTAGAGCTTATTTGAATGTTAGATAGTTTATCAGATATCTCAGCAATTTTTTCATCATATAAATTTAAAGTATTGGTACTGGTGGTCTGGCGAACCTCACAGTTTCTGACTCTGTCTTCAATAATACACATACGGTTGTTGAATTGCTCAGTTAATGTCTGTACTTGATTTTTAAGTCCATTAACACTAGTAATTACCGTTGAGAGTTCACTTTTAATATCATCTTTGAAATCAATTCTGACAGATGTGACATCCTTTTTAAGATCGTTACGCAGGGCAGTCATCTCTTGTTTTAGGAAGTCCCTAAGTTCTTCGGTTGATGAAGATCCACGCCTACCACAACAACGTTGGTAATAGCCACCATTCATAAGCACAGCTCGTTCGGCACAGCTCGGATGATAGTATGCTTTACATTTATCACATTAGACCTGCTCTTTAGCGATACTTTGTGAACAAGCACGACATTTTGTAGCAGGTGGAATATTAGTGGATTTATTATCATTACTTTCAGCCATTGTTAAGGTCACTCAGCTGTAGTGAAGAGGATCGGTACGTTGTTTATAAACAGTGAGATAGTGTACTATTACAATAAGTACAACGGCGCTAAATTCACTTAACTTTTAGCCACCCATGTAAGTGAGGCACATATATACGGCCCTGATATGCTTAAATTGTCTGAAGTCACGTCACTGAGAAAGATTTTTTAAATTGTTTGCACTGTATTATATAGACCAAATTAGATAAAATGAATGAGTGAACCCTTTCAGTCATTTACTAATCAGTACAAGTGTGTAGATAGAGTACAAATTATAATCTGCAAAAGCCAGTAATTAATTAATTTTCGTTGTTACGCCACGTGCTAAGAGGCTATTCAACCGGCACTTTCACGGATTGCAGACTTTGTGGTTTTGAGTTGTTTATTGATACAATTTTAGATATGCAATACTTTTGGATATTTAATAAAGCACTTATACACATAACAGAGTAAAAAGTAAAATTTATTTATACCAAATGTGGATAATATTTACTGCCAAATAAGGAGTACTTAATGGACTGTATGTACAGTTAGCGCACGCGCGGTATTATTCTAATAACAAACAAATCATAATAATGTTAATTTGATTTGTATCAAATATTAATCGAATGGTTTTGAATTTAATTTTGAAGTTAGTACCAAAAGTCACCAATAGGTGGTGCATGGCCACCAAAAATTCTCGCTGCAAGAGACTTGACTTGAGGTGTTTATAAGTTCCAATCATCGAAGAAATTATAATTATCATTGTTTGACTACCAAACAAGTGATTTAGGATAGTATTTTCATTAATAATACAATTTTAAATCAAATTTTTCTGGTATAAAACAAATCTTGTGATGATCTTGATTAATTAGACCAAAATAATTGATTGTTTTAGTATATTCACGTAATAATTATCCGTAACTCCTATTCTTTCCCGCTTCACAGCATTATTTATATTTGTTAAAAATGCTAGCCGTAAGAGGACAGAAGACATTTACCGTGGAATATTATTACTTAAATCACATTTTATTATTATTTTGTATTTTTTATAAATAAATAAATCTTATTCATTTTCAATGAAAATAATCTGAGCGTTTTAATTTGGAAAAGCCAGTCACGCACGAATCCCGGAGCCCGCTGAGGCTATCCTCATTTATAAATTTATTATGTACAAACGTTAGTTTGGTTAGAAATAAGCAAATTAAACGTTACAACTTATTGAAATTTTTTTTATTAAAAAAAAAAAATTTTTTTTTAACAGCTGATTTGATATTATTGAAATTTTTTTTATGCATAAAAAAAAAATTTCTTTTTAACAGCTGATTTTTTAATATTGAAATTTAAAAAAAAAAAATTTTTTAACAGCTGATTTGTAAATACGGATAATTTTTTTTATAAAAAAATTTTTTGATAAATTAATGAAATATTCTTTTTCTAGAATCCACTCTACATTTGGTCCTTCGTCTTCGTGGTGGAGTTATTGAGCCAACACTTAAGATCCTGGCACAAAAATACAACTCTGACAAGATGATTTGCCGTAAATGTTACGCTCGTCTTCATCCTAGAGCGACTTACTGTCGTAAAAAGAAGTGTGGACATACCAACATCCACCCCAAAAAGAAGTTGAAGCAGACGTTTCATGTTTTACAAACAGGCTATTCAAATTAATATCAAATTTGTTTACTAAATAAACAATACCTTGTAGCCTGTATATTTAATTTTGATATCCAATAAATAATCAAACGGATTAATCTTTATTAATAAATACTATTCAAAAATTTTACCTTTAATATTTTTAGGATAAAAAACAAATCTTTTTTTTTACACTTATCTTATATTTAAGAAATTCACTCTGCTTTTAAAATCTAAAAATTTCTCAAGGTTAATTCTTGTTATTATTTTCGTTTTATATTTTAAACCTTTTTTTTACAACATTTTGAAAGATTTTTTGTATTTAATATTTTTAACATTTTTAAACATTTTTAAACATTAAGAAAAATTAGGATCATCAATAACCATAATAAGGAACTCAATTTTCTTAGTGCAAATTGGAATTTGCTTACTTTACTGGCTCTTGAATTTCACCAGAGTCCAATAATCGCAGAAAATTCACCAATAGGGCCAGTTTGACAGCCACAATGACAAATATAACCATTGTATAATTCATGAATTATCTAATTAATAAATCAATTACCGAGATTTCATCAGGTGAGAAAAATTAATAAACGCGTAATGATAGAGTAAATTATTAAACTTTATCTTATTTGCCATGAGTACGTTCAATGGAGTCTTGGTGTTTCTTGAAGGTGTCGTACCATTTCCAGAAAATCTTCGGATGCCATGGACCATCGTGCTCAATTTCCTTTAAATGCTGTAAAATATAATCAACGTAATATTAATATAATTATATCAGAAAAATTAAATATTTTAATATATAGAAAATATATTACATTGTACTTCTTAACCAAAGATGAAAATCGTAGCCAACAATCAACTCCTGTGAATCTGTTTTGGAGTCGTGGATCATTTCCAATTGCACTAAATATTAAAAAAAAATGTTTATCAAAGTCCAAAGACATATTATTTAAATAAATACTTAATTGAAATTACTTACTTCCAGAGGGATTTACGGGGAAAGTCGACATCAGACCACCATCTTGTTTTAAAATGCTGCTCATAATCCACAAATCGGATCCACATTAACATTTTCTCCATTTCACAAGTCCCTTTAATAAAATAGAAAATCAATTATTTGAAGCAATAACATAAATATGTAAATAAATATTTAAAGAAACATGCAAAAAGATGTAATAAAAATTTTGTAAAATATATAAATATGTAAATAAAAATTATGTAAAATATATAAATATGAAAATAAAATAATAATTGTTAAATAAAAAAAAATTTCACATTTTAATATAAATACTAGCAACCTTGCAGTCATTATGTGACTGTTGTGACTTGTGAACTAGAAATAAATAAAATTTTGCTTTATTAAATAATTATTTTTGTTAAATTGCACTGTACTTTTTTAACTATTGACGTTTTTGAAGATATAAGCTCATCTTGATGTTACACTCATCAAGAGCTTTCATTTGAGTACCCACATGCATTTTGGATATATTTTTCATGTATAGATATATGTAATATATATATAAGATATATGTAAGATATATGTAAGATATATGTAATATATATATATAAGTATATGAAAAAATGATGTGGGTACTTAAATGAAAGGTCTTGATGAGTGTAACATCGGGATGAGCTTATATCTTTAAAAATGTTAATAGTTCACATGATAAAAGATCATTTCTTAATTATATATCAAGAGATAAAGCATTTTAGAGATCTAACATCTAGAGATCTAGCATTTTCTAATGCAGCTTAAATACTTATCATTATAAATTGACTATTGGTAAGAATGACATGAAACCATGAAAAGGTACAACTCCAGGCCAAAACTTTTCCAACGATACCAAATTTAACCATGAAAACCCACTTTATCATATAAATACACCAGCCACAAAATTTCAAAATTTTACTTATTTTCCTAATAATATAGATTACTTACAAGTAGACTGATGGTAAGTTTAAAAATCTTATATTTCGATGTCTTCCATAACAAAATCTTAATTATTTTATCGCGTAAGAAAATTTATTATTTAAATGTTTATTAAATGGCGAAATTATGATGCGCTTTGTTAAACAAATGACTTCTTTCATAAAATAAGTTTTTATTTATTTTATTACAGAAGTTATCATTTATTCTATTACAGAAGTTTTCATTTACGAGGGATTTTGAAATCGAAAAAATTTACCCTGATTCGTTATTATATTTGTCCTTTTTTTATTTTTACATATGTTCACTTATGTACATTTTCTTTATATATTTCAATATATCTTTTAATGTATAACTTTAATTCTTTTTAATAAATATTTGTATTATTTTTAACAGTTTTTAAATTAATTAATTACTATTGATTTTATATATTTCTTAATATATAAAGATTATAATCTATAAAATTTTTAATTCAAAGTAAATGTGGAGTTGGTCAGTTGAACCAAAAAATGTTCATCAATTTAAAAAAAAAAAATGTGATTTTTACTTGTATACAACCGTATGTTTATACAAGGAGAGGGTGGGGATTACCACTTTTTCTCTCACCTGTTTTTCCACTACGTCATTCATAATACATGTAACAAGCACACTTTTTTTTTCTCCCCCCCCCTTTTTTTTTTATTCCCACCCTCTCGGTGAGGTAGATTTCTTTTACCCCACCTCAATGCGTTCGAGGTAGCGGCTGTGGCCGACTTATAAGTACTGTACGCATTTGCCTGTGCCTGCCCATTTATGTAACTCTGGTAATAAATGCAACAATTTTTTCTTCTGCTTAGGATAAAATAGTCGGAACGATAATTTTTTGACTTCAATTTTAAACAATTGTAGATTCATCTAGATTTCAAAAAAATTATGCCAAGTGCATCAGATGAACACATAAAAGAGTATTGGCCATATTTATGCCGATTTATTAGAGAATATTCAAAAGTTGATGAGCAACTTTACTCGAATATAGCAGCTAAAGATTTGATTTCATTGATTACTGATGAGCCTGATGGTAATTCAAAATATTATATATTTAAATTAACATAAATGGTATTATTTTAATTTTTTACTAATTATGATCGACATTTACTGATATTTGATTCTTTTCAGATAACAATGAAGTTTTATTATGATTATTATTATTAGCTCACATACTTAAAAGCACGAGTATTAAACCAGCTGCCCCAAAGAAATCTGATAAAAAGAGGAAAAATTTGTCTGGAGATACTCCACCTCAGAAAAAACTGATAAAAGTGAGCAGCTGAAGGAGCCTGACTTTGTGAATGATTTTTTAGCAATTGTGAAGGTAAATATAACTTCTACTCACCTATATTTATATTCATTTTATTCGATTTCATATGTAATTCAAATTTCAGATTGACTCGCAAATTAACGAACACGTTGAGGAAAAAAAAAGGATCGCTGCACAACATAAGAAAACTGTTCAGCCGTACATGTTGTTTGTTGGAGGGCCTGAAAAGTTCACCAGTTTTTATGTCATTGTAGATGACTTTAAGTACGAGGTCGATAATCCTCTGAATGCTTTAAAACTGAATTTTGAAGTTTTCTTTTTCGGAAATTACAAATTTCCGGAGTCATGTTACAACATCTGGATATTCATTCAGAAATTTTTGTTCAAGACATCGACTGTTGGCAACAAATACCCGGCTAAAATAAAAAAAATGAACGGTTTCATCAAGTATAACATGAAGATTAACCTTTAAATATTTTACGCATCTTACTTAATTTTTAATACCAGTTTAAGTTGAAGTGATAGTGTTACAATATATTTAAAATAAGATATTTGATTATATTTATTCAAAAAAACTAAAGACCGTGATTCTATAATATAAACTAATTTAAAATTTATAACAATAATAATTTATAGTTAATCATTAATTATATTAAATTGTGATAGTGAATCCTTTAAATATGACTTCATTTAAAAGATATGAACACTTTTTTAATTTACCACTTTTAAGCGATAATATGACAGAACAATCATTATCATTTATTTCTGACCTATATAATTATAACGATTTACCTCGTGCTCGCGTGCAAAATATCATTGATAGCTGTTCTAACTTCGTCAAAAATTCACCTCTAAACACATTTATAACAGGATTAATACAACGTTTAGAAGACTTGGGTGAAAGATCGGAAAATTTATATGATTTTCGTGAAATTCAAGATGTTTTGAGTAATCCTTTCAAAGATTTAACTAGTGAATTTAGAAGATTAGAAGCTTTTAAAAGTAATGGTACGTACGTTCCTCCTCAAAAAATAAAAATTGGAGAAAGAGAAGACTACCGGAATAGTGAAGGCGTCACAAAACTTGTGAAAATTCCGGTCACGATTGAGTACATTTCAATAACTGTATCATTGAAGAATTTTTTGGAATTGCCAAATATTTTTGAAAGTATACTAGATTATATGGGAACTTTATCAGATGAATCTAGTATACATCAAAATGTTTTAAAAGGTCAACTATGGAAAGTAAAAAAAAAATCTATTGGTGATAAATTGTTGTTACCATTGGTATTGTATCATGATGACTACGAAACTAATAATCCCTTAGGAAGCCATAGAGGCCTGGCAAAAACGGGTGCAGTTTATATAAACATCCCTTGCTTGCCCCCCAATCTTCAATCTAATTTGGAGAATATTTTCGTTCCATTACTTTTCAATTCTCTGGATGAAAAAGATTTCAGTTATCAAATTATTTTAAATAAATTGCTAGAAGAATTAAAAGAACTTCAGACTACTGGATTAATATTATTTGAAAACACTCCATCGGAAAAAACCATTTTTTTTTTCATTATTCACTGTTGTTGGTGATAATCTGGCTATGAATGCTATTCATGGTTTTATTGTAGTTTTTCTGGTAATTATTGCTGTAGATTCTGCTTATTAGATCGAAATCAGATAAAAAATACCTATCAAATTGATGAGTCTTTACTTAGGACACAAAGTCAGTATGAATTTCAAATAGAGACCAAAAAATTTGATTCAACTGGTATCAAAAGTTCAAGCTGCTTCAATGACTTACCAGGATACAATGTGATAGACTCTATGTGTGTCGATGTTATGCATGACATTCTCGAAGGAGTTTGTCAGTATGACTTGGGCAAAATATTAAATTATTTCATTTTTAAAAAAGAATATTTCTCTTTGAATACGCTAAATAATAGAGTACGGGGATTTGATTATGGTCTAATAAAAAAACGGAATAAAACACCAGATATTACCCTAAATCATATAAAAAATGAATGTATCATTCTATCTTCAGCAGAAATGTTATGTCTCATTAGAAATATAAATCTGATACTAGGAGATTTAATTCCTACGAATGATGAACATTGGGAGCTAATCATTTTACTGAAAAAAATTGTTGACATAACAACAGCTAAGGCCCTTCATAAAAATACAATTATATATTTTAAAGCACTTGTTTCTGAGTATCTAAAAAAACTTTTGGCATTGTTTCCAAATTCTCTGAAATTTAAGCACCACGTGTTGACTCATTACCCTGATTTATTTTTCAAATTTGGACCTATTGGGAACATGGAGTCCTCCATCTATGAAAGGCTTCATAGACATGGGAAAATTACATCCTATAACGCCATAAGTCGTGTCAATATCTGTCATACCGTAGCTGTAAAGAATCAACTGAAATTCAGTAATTTACTCCGGAATTCCAAGAGGCAAATCGAATCTTTTACTACCGCTCCACTGTCTAAAATTTTAAACATCGAAACAGATTCTAATTATCAATTATTTGCACACTGTCTTCCTGCTGGAGTAATCAATGTTTGTTCAACGTCGTCTGTAAAGTATATGGGGCATGAATTGATGAAAAATTCAGTATTGATGATGCCCGCTGAAAATGGACCGTTATTTTATTATATACATAACATTTTTTTGGAACAAACTGAAAAATTAATTTTGGTCGTTACATGCATTCATGAATATTTTTTTGATGAACACTTTCAAGGATATGAAATTAATATTAATCATAAAAACTGGGCCTGTTTATTTTACTTAGATTTAAAATTTTGTACTGTGACAAGGTGTGTAACAGCTGGAAATGGAAAAATTTACATTCTAAAACGCTGGATATAAACTATAACATGATTAAATCTTATATACTAATAATATAAAAAAAATAAAATGATATATAGATAAAAAAATTTTTTTTTTTAATTATTTCTTTTTTGAATTATTTTATTTTTAATAAGACAGATATAAATTCTTATAATTTTTTTATTGATTTTTGTTTTTATTTTTTTTTACTAAAACCAATTTATATTAAAGTAGAAATTAAAAAAAAAAACCATCATGTCATGAAATAAATAATATAATTTATATAATATAGCTTGGACATAACCTACTTGCTATAATTAAATAAACATTGTTGTTACTCCAATGGTGTTATAGCTAAAATCACAATATTGGCTAGGTCTACGTGCCAAAAGGATTGGACATACAGCAAGCCATTAAATGTAATGTGGGCCTGACGGCCATACTGGCTTGCGGCGTCCGCGATAACTATCACCAATGATACCATTCCCGCAATGGTCGAATCATCTATACATACAATTTAATATTGGATAAAAATCTTTGATACCATACTGTATGGCGTTCTCGCCCATACTGGTGTAGTCGTATCCACCATCCATTTCTCTCCGTGTAGTGATAGTAGTTCCAGTTGTAGCACTTGTTCATCGTCAAGTTCCTCGAGTAGCAGTGCTTCCAACAAAGAACGTCCACGGAAGAAGACGTGCAACGCAGTAGGTCCAACGCAGATACCAGAAGAAAGCAACCAGCCAAGTACACAGACAAGCAACATGAACGCAAGGGGATACACCGATAAAGGGAACCCCGACAAGCTACCAACAGCATATTCAGATCCGCGTCCAAAAAAACAAAGGGTCGTAGCTACAAAAAATAATCCACCAGCGGTTAAACCTAGTGAAAAAACAAAAAGTTTGGGAAATCCAAAAGTGCACGCCTCATAACGCTCATTCATTTTTTAAGAAAAAATAAATTGTGTAATTGATTAAAAAAAAAAAAATTACAATTAAGTAATTTCTTACCGAGTATTTTTTTTTTTAAATATCAGCGCCCTTTTTTCTTGTCATATGCACACGCAGTTTAAAAAAATCTAGCTTGATCAAGTGGCGACATAGTTTTCACGTGACAAATAAGAAAAATTCGTTTGTCTTTGCACAATTGTATCGTAGTGAATTTTAATAAAAATTCAATTAAAAAAAAAATACGTAAACTAGGCTACTGATATGAAATACGGACCTAGTTCATCGCATTTTTGAACTAATAAAAAAGGTCCGGTTTTGAAGTATCAATTTGTTCGGGAGTAATCGTTGGTACATCCAAAATGGGGTGACATCCGGACGTCCACGTAAAATTTTTTTTAAAACGTTTTTTTTTATCAAAATAGCTACATGAAATGATTTTAGAAAATAAAAGATTGTTTAATTTAAGTGTTTTCTCAGTGTATATCTACTTATATTATTGTATAAATGTAATATGGTTGTGATAGAGACATTTAAAGATCACAAAATTGCTAGACTTTGACAAGTCGAGTATAAAGCACAACCTCACGCGCTTCACGCTATGAGGCGTGCAATAAAATAAAAATCGCGGGTAAGAAAAAGATGATAAGTGCAAAGCAAATCGGACAACACATCGAGGAAGCTATCGCAGCTGTAGCAGCAGGTCCGAAAAGACAGGAGGAACCGAACAAAGACAATAGTCGACGAGTAACAGGTGGCACAAGTTCTCGGCACCCTCAGTTGCCCTCAATGCCAATATTTGAGGAACAAAAGGCCAAGAATCCATACAATAGACAACAAACAACGATCAAACCAGTTAATAAACCTTCCCAGCTTCCACCAATACCACGGCTCAGGAAAGAAAATACCACAAATCGTTGTCCAACTAAGTTGACTAGTGTTTCCCAACCACTATTACAAGAAAAAATAAAATCTAGGGTAGTAGTGCCACCTAAACAGCCAAACGAACCCAGCAACAAAACGACAAGATAGGACAATAAACGTGACAATGTTGTAATAGAAGTAAAAAAAAATATATATACTTATTGTAAAGAGAAAGAAAAAAAAATAATAATTATACAAAAAGAAAAAAAATACTAAAGTTTCACGCATGCGCAAAATTTACTTGACGGTTACCGTCAAGTAAATTTGCCAGTCACCAGTAAGGGCTTGAAGGTTACCGCCAAGTCAGCGCCTTGAGAAACGTGATGCGCCGTAAAGGTGCGCGTAAGTCGAGAGCCAGTAAAGGAAAGTCGGAGCTCCCGAGCTCGTGACTCGGAAACCGCGACGCGCCGCTAGGATGCGCGCCAGCCAAAATACAGTGGAATGGGGAGTAGGAGCTCCCTGACCAATAACAAAGCCCATTCTCTCCCCACCTAGAATCAGCGACAGCCGAAAGCGCTATATAAACGCGGACCTCGGGCCTCAAAATCACTCTTCCTTGAGCTAGCAGCTAAGTGACCAGGAACTCGAAAGCAAGCTCATGGAACCTACTAGTGCAAGAAGATAGTGCTCAAGAAAGAAGAATTAATTCCCGTCAACCAAGGCCGCCGTTTTGGACCGTAAAATATCGTGTTCGATTTCGACTTAACTGGCAAGTCGAAATCTTAAATCAGTCATAGTAGGGGATCCGAATCTAAATCGATCTTCAGCTATCCATTTACCGAATGAAACATTTTTTTATCAAATTTCATACATAGACAAATGCGTCTTGCATGTCTTGCCTATCAAAATATGTTCATGACTATTTTTAATTAAAAAAAATTAGGATGACGATTGACCCTAAAGGCCATCCCTGCAACTTCCCGCTCATTTTGTACTTAAACGCTTCAAACTACACATTACGTTTTTGAGCTCTTCGAGCTTAAAAATATTATTTTTGTGTCAATTTGAGCTCTTCAAGCTCAAAACTCTAATAGCAGTTTAAAGACACAATTTTTTGAATATTCAAACGGCAATAACTTTTGAATGAATGAACCGATTTTCACGCGGTTGGCGGCAATCGACGCAATTTTTGAAGCTCCATGAAAAATTTTCAAGTTTAAATCGATCAAGCCATGAATTTCGAAGTTATTACAAAAAAACACTTTTTTCGATTTTTTTCGACAACGATATCTCACGAACGCATCAACCGATTCTGACGTTTTTGGTGGCGGTCGATGGGGGTTTTTAAGGTTAAAAGCTGATTAGTTTTTGAGACCGATCGGTTCAGCCAATTCGGAGATATTTAAAAAAAATAAAAAAAAAACAACTTTTTTTTCACTTTTTTTACATTTTCTCGAAATCTACCGGTCCGAATTGGTTCCAACTATCAGGAAATCTAAGTTTGGCGAAGCCCTTTCGAATGACACCAACCGCGATGAAATCGGTCAAGTCGTTCAAAAGTTACAAGAGGTTTACACACACACACACACACACACACACACACACACACACACACACACACACACACACAC